ATATAGTGTGGGAACCCAGATTAACCCCTTCAGGGGCACAACATTCCCCCACTTCCGGGGCCGGAACATTCTCCTCATTGTGGACCTTAGCAGTCTCTTGTAATGAGATACAGATTCGGGTTCTACTGAATTTAGCCCTTCCATGCCCTTCCCTTGAAGATCCCAACCTCCCCCACTCCTGACTACCTCCTCCATGTACCCCGGCTCCTCTGCCCCTCCTGCAGGCTTGGGACCGGCATGGCGGGTGGAGGGGGATGAGTTCTTGGATCTCCCCTTTGGTGAATGAACCCAGAAGAGACGAACATTTCATGACTTCCAGGCTCAGAGCTGTCCTTCCCCGGTCACTGTGGTCAGGGAAGGAGAGGAGGAATCCCCATCTGTACTGATCACCTTCACTGGGGTCCATAGGTGATGATGGAGGTCTAATAGAGCCCTGGTGTCTCCTTAAAGAGGACCTGTCATTTCTACTGTGATGTCACATAGGGGGTTCCTGACATGGGATGGTCACACCCCGGAGGGAGAGCAATTATTCTGGGGCCGTTATTTTTGGTTGACTCTAAACTGATGATCTGTAGGAGCTTTTAATATGTCATCTTTGAACCATGTTGGGTACTATGTCCCCATGCAGCAACTGCTCTCCCCTTACTATCTCCACGTGCAGCAACTGCTCTCCCCCTACTATCTCCATGTGCAGCAACTGCTCTCCCCCTACTATGTCCCCATGCAGCAACTGCTCTCCCCCTACTATCTCCACATGCAGCAACTGCTCTCCCCCTACTATGTCCCCGTGCAGCAACTGCTCTCCCCCTACTATCTCCACGTGCAGCAACTGCTCTCCCCCTACTATCTCCCCATGCAGCAACTGCTCTCCCCCCTTGCTATCTCTCTGTGCAGCAACTGCTCTCTCCCCCACTATGTCCCCGTGCAGCAACTGCTCTCCCCCTACTATGTCCCCGTGCAGCAACTGCTCTCCCCCTACTATCTCCCCATGCAGCAACTGCTTTCCCCCTGCTATCTCCCCGTGCAGCAACTGCTCTCCCCCTTCTATGTCCCCATGCAGCAACTGCTCTCCCCCTACTATGTCCCCATGCAGCAACTGCTCTCCCCCTACTATCTCCACGTGCAGCAACTGCTCTCCCCCTACTAACTCCCCCATGCAGCAACTGCTCTCCCCCTGCTATCTCCCCATGCAGCAACTTCTCTCCCCTACTATCTCCCTGTGCAGAAACTGCTTTACACTACTATCTCACCATGCAGCAACTGCTCTCCCCTTACTATCTCCACGTGCAGCAACTCCACCTCTCATATGAGATTTCTGTCTTTTGTAGTATTTTGATGGAGGTAAATGGACAGCCTGGCTTTTATATATATGGTGATGGGAGGGATGTTGTGGTACTTTTACTGCACACTGTTTACTGCACAGCAAGGAGACGGCAGGCTGCTTACAAATGGAGCTCAAAAGACCTCTAAGTAACCCAAACTAGTTCCATTTCCCACTGAGGGCAGCCTGCCCATTAAATCCTTATGTTCCCATACTAATATTGTACAACCAATACCATCAAGATATTTCTCTGCTATCTGTCTACAGAGCACCGCCCATAGATCACATGACCAAATCAATGAGGATGGAGGAGGACCAGAGGCACATGACTGAGAGGATATTAAACCTCACCCTGGAGATCATCTACCTTGCTGACTGGAGAGGTGAGGAGGATTCTGGGAGGTCACATGACATCACTCTTACCTCTATTAATAAAACACAGACCTGACTGCAGAGATGAGAGGATTCTGGGAGTCACATGACATCACTCTTATCTCTATTAATAAAACACACGACCTGACTGGCAGAGATGAGGAGGATTCTGGGAGGTCACATGACATCACTCTGATCTCTATTAATAAAACATGGACCTGACCGGAGAGGTGAGGAGGATTCTGGGAGAGTCACAGACATCACTCTTATCTCTATTAATAAAACACAGACCTGACTGCAGAGATGAGGAGGATTCTGGAGGTCACATGACATCACTCTTATCTCTATTAAGTAAAACACAGACCTGACTGCAGAGAAGAGGAGGATTTTTTTGGGCTGGGAGGTCACATGACATCACTCTGATCTCTATTAATAAAACATGGACCTGACCGGAGAGGTGAGGAGGATTCTGGGAGAGTCACATGACATCACTCTTATCTCTATTAATAAAACACAGACCTGACCGGAGAGGTGAGGAGGATTCTGGGATTCTAACATAATATTCCTATTGGTTCCTCAAATACAGAGATTTCCTCCTCGGAAGTCAGGTGATCATATGACCATCACAGTGCCTCCATGTGACTCCCTAAACCCTGAGAGACACAACATGCAGAAGATTCTAGAAGTCACCAAGAAGATGATGGAGCTGCTGACAAGGAGAGGGTGAGCGGTGCCGGGAATTCTGGGACATTCTCCAGTAACAGACAAGGGATGTGTCTGGATGGTGACTGTATCCATTGTGTGTGTCAGGTTCCTATAAGGTGTCAGGGTGTCACTGTCTATTTCTCTCCATGGAGGAGTGGGAGTATTTAGAAGGACACAAGGATCTCTACAAGGACGTCAATGAATGGACAATCAGCCGCCCCTCACATCACCGGGTAAGAGGAGACTTTATTGTAAAGGAGAGAGCAGTACGGAGGATCCACCTAGATCCCCCATCATCTGATAAACACATAGAAACAATGGATTCAGTCAGTGTGGTGTTTCCTACAGATGGATCCAGTCATGGGAACCCACCAGAGAGATGTCCCCGTCCTCTGTATTCCCGGGATTCCACACAGGAAGGTCACACCATCCCTCACCATCATCAGGTAGATGGAATCCAGTCATGGGAACCCACCAGAGAGATGTCCCCATCCTCTGTATTCCCGGGATTCCACACAGGAAGATCACACCATCCCTCACCATCATCAGGTAGATGATGACAATTATTGTAGTTGTGATTTTATACACAGCATGTTTGTTACAATGAATGTTTATATTATATCTTTCAGAGTGGAATCCTCGAGGATTATAATATTGTTGTTAAAGAAGAGTATAAAGAGGAGGATGAGGAGTATGGAGTGATGGAGGAGTTCTCTGAAGGACACAAGGATATGATGGAGCCAACTAATACCAAGGAACCCCCCCCAGAGAGATGTCCCCGTCCTCTGTATTCCCGGGATTCCACACAGGAAGGTCACTTACACCATCCTCACCCATCATCAGGTAGATGATGAACAATCACTAATAGTATCATTAGGATCTGTACATTATCTGCATTGTTACAACTGATTTCTATATTCAGAGTGGAAACCTGAGAGATTCTAAAGTTGAGGTGAAATCAGAAGAAGAGGCGTATGTGAGGGATGATCAGCAGTCTATGGAGAGGATGGAATAACGGGGACATTTATAGAGGAGGACACTCCTACAGAGATCAGCACAGGTGGGTCCATGAACACTAAATCCATATCCTCCACCCATACTGCTCACTGATTGGTCCAGTAGTAGGGCGGGGACTGGGTGATATCAGGCTGTAATCCCCTGGTCACTTTCCTGAGCTGTGTTCACACCCGTCCTGTATTCCTGGATTTCTCTCGGATAATCTTCCTTCTCTGTGCTGCAGACACAATTTATGTATCTAGACTGGATTTATGGAGATTCTGGGGGTTCAGCTGGCAGCAAATTTTTTTATTTTTTTAAAAGGCGTTACTAAGTCCTAGGCACCTGGACAAAGCTCTCGGGTCTTTGGCCCAATGTCTGGGTCTAGCAAGATCTCTGACAGAACAAATCTCCCAGGTTCCTTGCTCTGTGGTCTGCTGGCTGTGCCGGTGGAGGGATAATGTCTGTATAGTCTCAGACCCAAGTCACTGAGTGCAGTCTCAGGAGATGGAGGCAGCGGTGTGGGATCTCTGCAACTTGTCTACAGGAAACATTTAGCTTCTACTGCTTACTGAATACCAATATTATGAGTCCTGACTGTATAAATTCTCTGTATATATATTACATAGTCCTGAGACCCCTGTACGATATACTCTGGGTTGTACATTACATATTACAAGTACCATATAGTCCTAACTGTTGTATCCTATAAAAATAAGTTATGGGTTAGATAGTAGTGTAATAATTATATATAATATGGATTCTCTTCTGTTACACCCATTTCTCCCAGCTGACATTTTATATATCGGATGATGTGATTGGAGCACAGACTTTTTACATGGTGATAATAATGTGATAACATCCTCCAACTTTGGACCCTTAAACAGAAAGTGATAATGAGGGAGGATTCAATACCCCAATGATGGTGGTCTTCAGGATCAGTCCAGTCTTCATCTTGGTTGTTCTCCCCCCCATCCTCACACTCTCTGACCTCTGGTGGGGGCTCAGCCCCTCTGTTCTTCATGACTAAAATCATGGACTAAATAAGGAAGTGCAGTACTTCTTGTGTTGGGAAGATGGCGATGAGTGATAGAGGGGGGTGGGGACCCTCGTCCTATAATCCCCTCATCACTGTCCCTCCTATAAAAGACAGTTCTGGTTGTTTCCTCACTCTCTGACTAAGGTCCATGAATAAAGAAATGACCTGGTAGGAGATCAGAGGAGACATTTCCTAGTTCCCTTGAGGGTGGAATTGTAAGCTCCTCAGAGACCAAGCTGCCTGATGTGGGCGGAGTCCTGGTTTGGGGGAACCAATCAGCTCCTGTCTAGCAATCCTCTTTGTCTTTGTATTTTAGTCCATGGCCGGGAGATGAGGAAAAACCTCCGAGGATTGTCTCACTTTGTCTCCAGACTGGAAAGTAGAAGATGAGGACATCACACAGTATAGTCCAGGAGAAAACCCGGCTCCCTCCAATGTCCATTCCGGCACCACCCAGTGTAGATGGGACCATCGGATTCCTCGTATCCTGAGGAACCTCAGACTGTGCGGGACCGGGCCGGCCTGGGAACTCCAACAGTGAAGAGGTTTCCTTTGTACTGAGTGTGGGAAGAGTTTCCATTTTAAATGTGATCTTAATGTGCATAAAAGATCTCACACGGGGGAGAAGCCGTATTCCTGCACTGAGTGCGGGAAATGTTTTTCACATAAGTCTAATCTTTACAAACATCAGAGATTGCACACAGGTAAGAAGTCATTTTTTTTCTGTTCCGAGTGCGGGAATTGTTTTTTCACATAAGTCACAGCTTTACAGACATCAGAAATTGCACACTGGTGAGAAGCCCGTTTTCCTGTTCTTTGTGCGGGAAATGTTATATCCAAAAATCAGATCTTGTCACACATCAGAGATCTCACACGGGAGAAAAACCTTATTCCTGTGCTGAGTGTGGGAAATGTTTTTCACAGAAGTCCAATCTTAAAAAACATCATATATCTCACACGGGGAAAAACCTTATTCCTGTCCTGAGTGCGAAAAATGTTTTTCACGAAAGTCCCATCTTTCCAGACATCGGAGATTGCACACAGGGGATAAACCACTCTCTTGTACTGAATGCGGCAAATGTTTTTCACGGAAATCCCATCTTTCCCATACATCAGAGATCTCACACAGGGGAGAAGCCACATTTCTGTTCTGAATGTGGGAAAAGTGTTTTTCACAGAAGTCCATGTCTTTACAGTCATCAGAGATCACACACGGGGGAGAAGATGTATTCCTGTCCTGAGTGCGGGAAATGTTTTTTCACATAAGTCCAATCTTTATAGACATCAGAGATTGCATACGGAGGAGAAGCCACTTTGCTGTCCTGAGTGAGGGAAAATGTTCCTCACTGAAGTCCTGTCTTCCTGTACATCAGGGGTCCCACACAACCCTGGAGGTGTATTAGTGCCTTGAGTGTGGGAAATGTCCTCTAGATGAATGTTGCTGGACATCCCAGCTCTCATGTGGGGAAGAAGCACACCCTGATATACACCTCAGATATACTCCCATGGCTGATCTTCATCATGGAAGAAACAGTTCATAAGGAGATCAGAGGTCCCCAAAGACGTGGATGAAGTGTGGGACCGGGTTGGCCCATTGATAGCAATAAAAGAATAAAAAATGGAGTCATCACCTTTCATTGGCTGAGTACATTTTGTGGTGGAAGATTTCACAAACACCTAGAGGTCTATTTTTTTAATTATTTGAACGAATGTGACCGGCATTCACCCAGCCGAGACGAAGGTTGGTCGTATTTATCTCATGCAGTTTACTTCTACGGTACTTGGCTCCATCTAGGCCATTGATAGCAGGAGAACAATAAAAATGGAGTCCTCACCTGTCATTGGCTGAGTACATTTTGTGGTGTAAGCCCTTGCAAACACTTAGAGGACTATATAAAAAAAAAAGGGTTGAACAAATATGACCAGCGTTTTCCCATCTGTGGAATGCTAGCTGTATTTATTTCCTTCAGTGTTTCAATGTGATCATTGGCTTCATCTAGGGGCCATAATGCAGTACTCTGCTATTTGTAGTGATGGAAGTATTTTAGGAAAAATACAGAATGATGGAGCTGAGGATCATAGGAAATCATTGTGTTAATTAAACTACGGCCGGAATTTGTAATGGCTGAACCAGGGGCGGACTGACAACTCATGGGGCCCCCGGGCAATAAGGGATCATGGGGCCCCTGTGTCCTTGCCCAAACTCAAAAAAGCCTATGAAAAAGATACCAGGGGCATTTTCATGGGGCCCCTACTGACTCCCTGGGCAATAGGGGATCATGGGGCCCCTGTGTCCTTGCCCAAACTCAAAAAAGCCTATGAAAAAGGTACCAAGGGCATCTCATGGGGGCCCCTACTGACCCCAGGCCCTCGGGCAGTGCCCAAGTTTCCAAATGGTCAGTCCACCCCTGGTCTGAACCAATGCTTGTTCTGGATAATGCAAACTGTGCACCCAAAAAACTCTTTGAGAAGAAGACATGTTATCCAGAACTTAGATCAACCATGACATTTTGTAGGATAGGAGCCACCTAACAGCAGTCATCCCCTTTCCATAGGCATCTTGTACAATTCACAGTCTTTTAGCTGCATTCCAATACATCCTCATTAGTCCATTGATAGGACACGACAAAACCCTCTTCGCCAAATCAACCAACATCGAATCACAGCATGGCAAACAGGCAACCCTTTGATTTGGCCATCATAAAACCCCATTAACAGAACCTTACACAATACACATCCCAGTCTGGCTTTAACCACTTCCAGACCGGACACTTTTACCCCCTTCCTGTCCAGGGCAATTTTCAGCTTTCAGCGCTATCACACTTTGAATGACAATTGCGCAGCCATGCAACACTGTACCCAAACTAATTTTTTTACCATTTTTTTGAGACAGATAAAGCTTTATTTTGGTGGTATTTATTCACACCACTGGGATTTTTTTTTTTTTTTGCTATGTAAATGAAAAAGTCCAAAAAGTTTGAACAAAAGTGTTTTTTTTATAAAATTTTGCAAATAAATAATATTTCATCATAAATCTTGGCCAAAATGTATTCCGTTATCTTTTTAGTAAAAAAAAAAAAAAAAAATTAGTTTATAACCAAAAAATTATAATTTTTAAACATTTTTTTTTTACATTTTTATTTTATTTTTTTATATTATTATTTTTTTATTTATTTTTTTACATACTGTCACCCTAGCAGTACACCATGGTGACACTGTACTACTTGTGGGGGGTGATGAAAATTTTTTTTTTTTTTTTTTACACTGATTGCTTTTACACCCATATAGGATGTAAAAGCAATCATTTCTCTTTCTCTCTGTGTGCATTCTTGCACTCATTGAGAAGTACTGTGTGAGCTGTGATTGGTCACAGCTTGTCACATGGTACAAGGCTGTTGTGAATAGCCTTGTACCATGTGACCTCTGTGATCATTCACAGATTTCACACGTAGTAAGCAGTGATGTCAGAAGTGACATCTTGCTTACTACTTTGCATGTGATCACTGATTGGCCAATCAGTGATCACATGATCGGGACCTCGTACAGAGGTCCCGTCCGACGATCAGTGTTTCACTGTGTCCGGAGGACACAGCGGGCACCGGATCGGGATCGCGGTGCTGCGCGCTCCCAGGGAGCGCGCACAAGCAGGGTGCGAGGTGGCCGTTCATAAACGGCTACCCGACCCTGCAGTGCCACCGTCCGGCCGTTTATATGCAACGGCCGGACGGGAGGTGGTTAATAACCATCATAAACCGTTCAAATCCAGGTTTAGGTCATTAAAACAGCAAGCGGATATCCATCCTAGGTATGAGTATCAGACTCATTGCCTGTCGTAAATAGCTCAGCTGGTAGAATAGCCAAATACACCTTTCTGGCTGGCTGTTAGGTCTATTATTACCCACAGAGTTAAAACTTCAATGCATTTTGTAACTCCTGAGATGGTACCAGAACAGCAAGTCTAAGGACATATTTAACTATTTCATTTAAGTAGCAACATTTTAGGCCCAAAACACCACTATATTGGAAGGTACCAAAGACGGGTGGGACACATTACATCTCTTTGCTGAAATAGGCATCTGATACCCATCATATTTGTATTCATTCAAATGGTAATTTCATGACGGACAATGACATACAAGTTACCAGACTGTAACCTGTAGCTATTCTAAGATATTAAAAACCTGTAGAAAACTGTATCTGAGGGCGTATCAGCTACATGGTTCTAAAGACTGTGACCTCCCATCCGTCACTCGTCATTTCTTCTCATTGGTCAGATCATTTCTGTCCAACCCCTCCTCCGGAACCAGAAAAGAGGGGCTGCATCAGCAGTCTGGAGCTCTCCTTCACCATCGAACAAGAACATCAGCCAAGATTTTTGAGAGCCATTCATCCACCTTATGCTCATTGACTGGGCTTTGCTGAATGCACAGAACCAGGACTTTGATAAGTATTTTCACTCTTAAACCCTCTATGTTTTCTGTTGCATTATTGTCTCTTTTCTTTTGTAATACCTTTTTCTATAAATATTTTGTTTGCACTATTTTAACTGTTTTTCTTATTAAACAATATCTTAAAATTAGAAACTCTAATGAAAATTAATATAGATGTAGGGCCTATCTACAGTGCCTTGAAAAAGTATTCCTACCCCTTGACATTTTCCCCATATTGTCATGTTACAACCAAAAACGTAAATGTATTTTATTGGGATTTTATGTGATAAACCAACACAAAATGGCACATAATTGTGAAGTGGAAGGAAAATGAGAAATGGTTTTTTCAAATTTTTTTATAAATAAATATCTGAAAAGCATGGCGTGCATTTGTATTCAGTCCCCTTTACTCTGAACCAATTGCCTTCAGAAGTCACTTAATTATGCCTACGATATGACCGTTCTTAACCTCTGAAACTACTAAGCAACCTATTCACTCTCTTTTTTATCTCTCGCCTTTACTATTGTAACTCCCTCCTCATTGGCCGACCTCATCGCAGTCTATCCCTCTTCAGTCTATCATGAATGCTGCTGCCAGACTCATCCGCCTAACAAACCGGTCCATATCTGCCACCCCTCTCTGCCAATCCCTCCACTGGCCTCCACTCAGTGTCCTCCACCCCTCTCTGCCAATCCCTCCCCACTGGCCTCCATTCAGTGTCCTCCACCCCTCTCTGCCAATCCCTCCACTGGCCTCCACTCAGTGTCCTCCACCCCTCTCTGCCAATCCCTCCACTGGCCTCCACTCAGTGTCCTCCACCCCTCTCTGCCAATCCCTCCACTGGCCTCCATTCAGTGTCCTCCACCCCTCTCTGCCAATCTCTCCACTGGCTTCCACTCAGTATCCTCGACCCGTCTCTGCCAATCCCTCCACTGGCCTCCATTCAGTGTCCTCCACCCCTCTCTGCCAATCCCTCCACTGGCTTCCACTCAGTGTCCTCCACCCCTCTCTGCCAATCCCTCCACTGGCCTCCATTCAGTGTCCTCCACCCGTCTCTGCCAATCCCTCCACTGGCTTCCCGTTGCCCAACGAATAAAATTCAAAACATTAACAATAACATATAAAGCCATTTATAAATCTGCCCCCTTATATCACCTATCTTGTCTCCAAATATCACTCAAACCATCCTCTCTACTCCTCCCACAACCCCCTGCTCTTTAGCTCCCTTTTCTCGTCCCATGCTCATCTCCAGGACTTATCCAGAGCCTCCCCCATCCTCTGGCACTCTCTACCCCACCCCATTTTTCTCAGACTATCGCCTTCTCTGCCCACTTTTAGGAGATCTCTGAAAACCTCTCTTCAAAGAAGCCTATCCCGCCTTCTGCTAATAATGGAATCTTCTGTTCCTTCTACCAGTCCATCCCCCACAGGTATTACCTTTTGTACCACCAGCCCCTCCCTCTTAGATTGTAAGCTTCAAGGAGCAGAGCCCTCCTAACCCTCTTGTATTGAACTGTATTGTTACTGTATTGTCTCCCTTTATATTGTAAAGCACTGAGCAAACTGTTGGCGCCATAAATCCTGTATAATAATAATTAGTAAATAGAGTCCCCCTGTGTGTCATGTAATCTCAGTATAAATCCAGCTGTTCTGTGAAGCCCTCAGAGGTTTGTTAGAGAACATTAGTGAACAAACCGCAT